TTATTCTACACACAAATTTGCATGTGGATGTTTATAGCAACTTTATTCATAATTGCCAAAACTTGGAAGCAGCTTAGATGGCCTTCAGTAGCGACTGGATAAAGAAATTGTGGCACCTTCAAAAAAAGTGGAGTAATGCTCCATGCCAAAAAGAAACCGAACACCAAGCCATGAAAAGACATGAAGGAACATTCAATGCATATTACCAAGTGAAAGAAGCAAATCTGGAAAGGCTATACAGTGTATGATTCCAAATATGACATTCTAGAAAAGGCAAAACTATGGACAAAAAACATCAGTGATTGCCAGGGTTTAGTGTGACAGAGGGATGAGTAGGTAGTGCACAGAGAATTTTTTTAGGGCGCTAAAAATTCTCTGTGTTATGGTATAGTGGTGGATACATGTCATCATACCTTTGTCCAGTCCTATACATTATACAACATGAATAGTGAACCCTAATATAAGTGATCATGACATGTCCATGTAGGTTCATGAATTGTAACAAATGTATCACTCTGGTGAAGGATGTTGATAATGGGGGAGGCTGTGTGTGCATAGGGGTAGAAAGTATATAAGAAGTCTCTGTACCTTCCCCTCAGTTTTGCTGTGAACTAAAAACTCTAAAAAACAGTCTACTGAAAAATTTCAAAAGCCATAGCTTTTGACCTCAGCATGTATTTTTACAAGCCTTTTGGCGGTCAGGTTTAGGAGAATGTGTTGGTGAAATACTCCACGTAACAATGTTTTTTACCTAATGCAAGGAAGGAATGATGGAAAGTGTGGTGGAGTTGCTTTGGGTGGAAGTATTTTAGCACTTTGCTAATGTGTAAGAATATTTCTCATGTAAATATAAGAAAAGTGGTTAAAATTCCTTGATGGTCATTTTCAGATTGGTTAATCATAGGCAAAATGATACCGTTTTTGTTTTAGTGTCCTAAGTTCTCTGATTTTCTACCTTCAGTTCCCTTTCTTCTTCTTCTTCTTCTTCTTCTTCTTCTTCTTCTTCTTCTTCTTCTTCTTCTTCTTCTTCTTCTTCTTTTATTATTTTGCACGCACAGCACCCTTTATGAATGTGTGCAAATTTCCAACACTTTACTACGTTAGAAATATAAGGTAATGGTTTGTAACATCTTTCTTCTGTATAGCTTTCCTTTTCCCATCCCCTTTCCCTGCAGCTCCTGGTCCCTACATCCTTCTCACTCAAATCTTCTTGTGCCCCTACCTCTATCCTTATTTTTGGGAAAAGATGGAGAGAGATAAAGCGGAGGGGGGAAAGCAAATCCTGTACGAGAAGTAGGCCAAACTTGGAGTAGATTTTATCAAATCTTAGCACATTCTAAATATAGGACATCCTGATTAATAAAAGGAAGAGAAGATATTCATGTATTAACATTTTTTCTCTGCTTGAATCTCGCTCCTGCCTACTCCATTTTGGTTAGCAAAAATAAAGGATACAAGACAATTTAAGGAAAACAGCAAAACTGAAAAGTGGATAAATGGTTTTGATGTATTTGTTGCATTATATTTGCTCTCCCTTTTTTGGATTTCAAGGTCCTTGGAATCCAGTGGACTTATTTTCCTTTTGCTATGAATATACAGTGTTTAATTTTTTCTGGGTATCATTTCTTTGGATTAACTTCCTCAGAGCTGTATGATTACATTTTGTGTTATCTTTTGTCTTAAGTTCTTTTGGTCTAAAAACTATACAACTTGTCTATTAAGTTCTTTTACTAGCCACTTAATCTGTGTTACTCTTGTCTGACCCAAAAGATAGTTGGCACCTCGAGGTCCTTGAGTCTGAAGTATACTTTTGCTACTTATGGTGATTTTTCCTGTTGAAGGTTTTACTAATTTTTCTCTGCATATTACATTTGACCTGTTCTTCAAAGTACTGTTTAAGTTCATTTCCTCTATAAGTTTTTAAAATTTCTTTAGTTACTCTCAGTTGTGCACTACATAGTTGTACATCTGTGGTGGGCTGGAATAATGGCTCCCCCTCCGCCCACCCATGAAAATGTCCACTTTCAATTCCCCAGAATCTGTGAATGTGACCTCACATGGCAAAAGGAAACTTTTTATTTGGTTGAGATGGAGAGATTATCCTGGGTTATGCAGATGGGCTCAATGTAATCACAGGGGTCCTTATAAGAGGGAGGCTGGAAGATCCGAACAGGAGAGAAGACAATGGGCAATGGTAGTAGAGGGAGAAAAGACAATGAGATAGGCCATGACCCAAGTAATGTGGGCAGCCTCTAAAAGCCAGATGAGGCGAAGAAACAGATTCTTCCTCAGAGTCTCCAGAAGTAACCATACCTGTTGACACCTTGATTTTAACCCAGTGAGACTGATTTTGGACTTCTGAACTCCAGAAATTTAGGATGATAAATTTGTGTTGTTTTAAGCCACCAAATTTGTGATTATCTGCTATTTGTTACAGCAGCAATAGGAAACTAATATGATGTCATTAATGTGCTCTACAGTTTTTTAGGTTAGTTCCACATAATTTAGCACTTTACTGCCATGCTAATTCTACTATGTATAAATGTTATAATATAAATTCCTGGTGGGCTGGAGCCAGAATTTTTAACCTCATTTTTTATACCCTAAGTGCCCATTCTTAGGTAGTCAGCTTTTTGGAATGGATTCTATCTCTGGCACATAAAAGATAATGGCTACCACCAGCGCATTTTGAAAGACAAATATAACTCAATGAACTGTGTTTAATTCCTTGGCATCAAATTCCAATCTTTTGTTTCTGAGGTCTGCGTCCCAAGCAGTGTCAGATGCACACTTGCTAAATGGAGGCAGGAACACAGGGTCTTTAACAGGCACTTGATGCAATGAGTGGAAATCTCTGGAAGTAAAGAAGGAAAAGGAGAAAGAGAAAACCAAGATGGGTCAGGTAGAAAGTCCTCCTTATCTATTAACCTGATTATGTTATCAAACTTTCCAATATGAATTTTTCTTAAAGCAAAATAGAAAAGGGAAAGATGGTAAAAATAGGCAGGGTGTGACAGTTTAATTTTATCAATTAAATTCAAATAACCAGTATTTTAAAATTCAGGTAGTATGCTTAATACTATGTTTAAGAGCTAAAGTGGTCACAGATAACCCATAGGACATGGGTGTATCCTAAAGGGCCTTAGTATCTAGTTGGGAGATACAGCAGTGAGCTAAGGTTACTGAGCAGTTTATCAAGTGTCATCTTGTGTGATTCAGACTTTGGAGATTATCAATATTTGGAATTTGGGGATAGAGAATCAATACTTCATCCAGCGAATATTTCTTGAGAATCTGTTATGGTTCTCTGTGAATGACAGTTTTTCTTTGGAGTTTGCAATCTAATAGAGAAAAATCAAGAGAAGTAACTGACTAATGTGAGAATGGATTAAGTGCTAAATAGCAGGAAGATGCTTTGTAGTGAGAAAAGGTTATTACTGTAACTTCTGAAAGTTGAAAGGCTTTGTAGAATTGTGAATGATTTTAAATTAAAGGTATTAGATCAAGCCTTCAAAGAGGAGTAAGGCATTGACTAGAATATTCCAGGCTGATGCACGGGCAAGAGCACTGCAGGTATTTCATGCCTGGATGTAACAAAGGATGCTTGAAATGTAGTGTGTTACTTTCCTATTAACATAGCAACAAATTATCACGAACTTAAAGAAATATAAATTTATTATAGTTCTGTAGGTCAGACATCCAATACAGGCTACGTTGGGATAAAATCAAGGTGTTGGTAGGACTGAGTTCCATTCTAAAAGTTCTAGGGGTGAATCCATTTCCTTGTCTTTTCCAGCTTCTAGAGATCACCACAATCCTGGCCAGTGGTTCCCTTCCTCTTTTCAAAACCAGCAATGTTGCAACTTTCTAATCATCCTTCATATGTGTTACCTCCCTCGCGGCTTTCCTCTTCTGCCTCCTCTTTCATTTTGAAGGCCCTTGTGATTATATTGTGCCTACTCAGTAATCGAGGATAATCTATTTTATGTTAGGTCAGGAGATTAGCAACTTTAATTACCCTTATCGGTGAAACTTAACATATTAACAGGTTCTGGGGATTAAAACTGTGGACATCTTGTGGTGGGGGTCATTATTTTGCTTACCACGTAGTAAGGAAGAACTACTTTCCAGAGGGAAGGCAAAAGAAAGGGTATGAATGCACTGATAAGGGCAGTGGGGTTACAGGTGCAAGCTTCGGAGGTTTGACATAAACTCTCTGATGACAGTGTTGGCTGTAGCACAGCCAAATGTTTGGACAAGCAAGTTTGGGAAGCCATGCTTCCCGATGTTAGGAGTCCACTATTGTAGTCCAGATGAGATGGTCTACGTTAGGGAGAGCATAGTTGATGGTTGGTCTGGGGCTGCTTCTACCCATTTCTAAGTGTTTTTCATCAAAACTCATGACAGTCCCCAAGATCTCAGCTAGTGCAGTTTGCTGAGATCTTGCAGTAATATGGATGAATTTGTTCAGTAAATGCTGCAACCCAGGTCTTAAATCATTCACCTACAATCCACAGGGAGACCGGAAACCCCGTCAGTCCCCCGGTTAGCAAGGCTGAAGCTTACAGAGAGCCAAACACTTAACTTCTTAATGGTCCAAATCGCTGAGACAGCACGCAGTCCTCGTTCTTAAGGTGCTGCCTTAACACGGATGCAAAGTCGAAGAGCTGTGTACGGTTTCAGCGATTTAAGCCTAACTGCTCCTCCAGCTCCAAGAAGTTCTTCCGGTCTTCGAGAGCCCCGCGAAGAGCAGCCCCTTCCCGTCACCGCCCACTTTCTCCCTCCCGCCCCGTACTCCATCTACCCCTTGGTCGCAGTGATGCAAGCCCCGGCACAGCGGACTGAAAAGACACCGCGCCCTGCACCAACGACGACGTCAGCACGGAGTCCTCGGACCAACGGGGTGGAAGAAAAGGAAGCAGAAAAGGTTAGGGAATGTGGCGGACCCGTGGTCACGTGCTCCGCGCACGCCGTCTTCCGCTTCCGTTACTTCCGGGTGCGATCGCTGCAAGTGTCAGGCTGGCCCTGGACTTGCTTGGTCCCTCTCTACTGTATCGGATCATCTACACAACTGCCCCTTCCTTGGTCCCAGCGGGAGGGACATGAGTGTCGCTGGGCCGCCGCCTTCGGACGGGGTCTTGGCACAGCCTTCCGACGGTCTGGGGCCTGGGGAGCAGACGCCGGGTACGGGAGGTCGGCGCAGGGAGGGGCGGGCAGGAGGGACGGAGTGGGTGGGTCTTCGGGTCCGCCCCGCGGGAGTCGGCTGCTGTGGGCAGCTGCGGGGAACCGTGCCGGCCCTACTGCTGTGTGAAGTGGGTGGGAAACGAGGTTTGGCGGGGCAAGTGGTGTTTTTTGGGTGCGGTTGGAAGCAGTTGATGGTGAAATCATTTTGTTTATGTGACTCCAGCTCTTGTTGGCTATTTGTTACACGTTGGTGGTTGAGGATGAATTTGTCAGAAGGATGATGGCTTTGTAATTTAGAGACTTGATCCACCCGTGAAATGCTGTGTTTTGCTTGTTGATATTACTGCATCTTTATTCTTCCAACAGTCTTTTTTTTTACTCCAGTTCCAAGAGAGATTTAAGCCCCAATGCCCTAAGGCATCCGTTGAATCCAGTGGGTTGTCTTGCTTTGATTCCAGATGGTACAATTTCTGTACCATTTCATGTTTGGGACAATTGAGAAAAGTACTCAGAGTAGTTTCGTGTTCTGTGATTCAGATGAAGAGCCATAGATGAGAAAGGCTGCAGGGCGTTGGATGTACCTTTTCTTTTTCCTCCCTTTCTAGAAATATAGGCGTTACCCCCAAATAGTGCTCAATCTTTTCTTGGCCATGCTTTTCCTCAATGGTCTCCCTCTCTTCCCACCTTCCTAAGTTGCTTCTATAAATATGACTTCCTTGTATCTATGTGCAGCTTGGGTGCCTCTCAGCTTGCTCCTCTGTCTGTTCGCTGGATGCTTTGACATGGCTTTTTTGAACTAACCTCACTTACAGCATGTAGTCAATAAAAGTAGACGCATGATCCTATTATTGGTGCCAAGTTACTCTCACTTGAAACTTTGATACTACTCTGGACTCTTTCCTCTCACCTCCTACCTCTGTGTAATCTAGAGCATTCCACTAGTCAATATCCAACTCCTCTTTCTATTTTCACCCATAAAACAATAGTTGTAATGCTAGTCCGCCTCCAGTCTTTCTCTTACACCCCATCTACCCTACTACTGTCACATAAGTGCTCCAAGACAAAGCTCCAGTCATGACATTTCCTTGCTTGGAAGCCTTCAGTGGCTTCTAACTGCTTAATAAAGAGCCAAACCCATTAGCTTGGCACTCATCAGTCCTTCTAGTCTGGCTACATGGTTCTTAGAGCTCACTACTGCATATGTCCTATGCTCTCACTACCTTCTCTCTCCAGAGCAATTCCATACGTATCTTTTCTTATGATTGCTTTCTTTTCCCATACAGTATCCCTTCCACTCCTGTCGTCACACTTTCTTACCCAATTGGAAATAGTAGCTTTCCTTTTGTTGGGGGTAATGTAAATTGTTACCATCTCTCTTAGGAAGGCAGTTTTGCAGTAGTTGTTAAAAAAAATAACATAAACTCTTTGTCCCATTGGTCTGTTTCTAAGGATTTGCCCTACAAAAACAGTGACACAAATATGCAAAGACAAGCAAAAAAGCTCACTGCAACATTGTTTGAAATAGGAAAAATGAAAATAACCGAAGTACTCATCCTTATGTGTCTTAGTCTATTCTGGTTGCTCTAACAAAGTACCAGAGGCCAGATGGCTTAAACAACAGACGTTTATTCTTCGCAGATCTGGAAGCTGGAAAGTCCAAGATCTGGGTGCTGGCAGATTAGATTCCTGATCTTGCAGACAGCTGCCATTCTCACTGTGTCCTCACATCGTGGAGGGAGAGAATTCTGGTTTCTCTTTAAGGACAAGAACCTCATGGGGGTCCCACCCTCCTGACCTCCTTTAAACCTAATTCCCAAAAGCCCATTGCCTTGGAGGTGAGGGCTTCAACATGACTTATGGCAGGGACACAAGCATTCAATGCAAAACTGGTTAAACAAAATATGTCAGAATTCTGTTCACTTAAAAAGAATGTAGTAGGTCCACATATGTTAATTTGGAAAGATAAATAAGATATATATTTAAGAAATGTGTTGTATAAAAATACAAGTAATATTTCATTTGTGATAAAAGCAGGGTTTACACATGGGTATGCAAGGACAATTTCTTGAAGCCTGTGTAAGAAACCTCAGAGTGACTCTCTAAGGGCATGAGAAAGAGTATTTTTACTTTTCAGCTTGTCCCTCCCCCACCTTTGTGTTCTAAGTTTTCACAAGATTAACATTTTAAAAAAGAAAAAGAAATGAAAATTTCATCCATTGTTCAAGTTTCAGTGCAAATGTTCACACCCCCTTTAGGAATTGTTCCCAGACTTTTCTGGTCAAAATAATCTTGCTCCCCTCTGAATTCCCTTCTAAGTTTTTGTTTCTCTAATGGCACTTCTCACGTGCTGTGATTCTCCTATATTGAACCCTTTCACAGAAGGAGACTTGCTTAATTTATTGTTGTACTCAGAAACTAGTACATTGTGTGTGTGTGTGTGTGTGTGTGTAGACATGAAGCAAATGTTTTTTGTATGAAAAGGGTAAGGACCCTTTATTTTTGTTTAATCTCCCACATAAAGCACCTTGAACTTAGTAACACTTAGTGTGTATGTAAAAACATGAAAACTTAGATACTTCCACTAATTAACTAGAAGAGTAGGGAAGGGAAGGGACCTATGCATTATAATGTCTATACGGGAGGAGCAAAAGTAGGTTTATAGTTGTTCATATGGAAAATAATACAATTAATAATATAAGAATAAACTGTTTTATGTACTCACAATTGTAAACCTACTTTTGACCCACCCTGTATATTGTTAGGGAGGTGTATTAAAGTTGAAATGTTCTTATTTGGGTATTTTGTATAATACATAATGTTTTTTATATTTACTTAAGAGAGTTTCTTTGCACTATAATTATAATCAGTCCTTAAGCAGTGGCATAAATTCTCAGCTATACTTATTCACTTACCATCTGAGGGTGCATCAGTAGCAATAGCCATAAATGCTCCACTTTTCTCCTTATATTTTTATTTCACTTGTGGAATGCTCAGTTTTTTACTTAGCTCTTACCTATTTGAATATTGCCTTGCAACCATGACATTCCAAAGTTTGCTCATGTTTTTCAGGATCAGAATAAAAACCATACTATTTTATTTTGATCTTTAAAAGTTTATTTTGAATATGACAGCATGTTGTTTTCCTTAATCTTGCCAAAATTTAAATATGTGGTAAAAACTATACATGGAAATGGGCTATAAGCAATGTGTTAGATACATGTATCCTATATAATGTTCTATTTTGATGTTACTGAATGTTACCAGGTTGTGCTTAAAGAGAGATGTTTCAGAGTTTAATATTAGTTTAAAAATGTTTTTAGAGTACCATTCTAATAATATGACCATTTCATTTTTTTCTCATTCTAAGTCAGTGATTCTAAAATCTTAAACCAATCACCGAACCCTGTTCAGAAATTGTTTTATACTTTTCTTGGCAGTAGTAGTGATTGATGGATATTCATTTTAGACACTTTTGATTGCCTGGCACATTACTTACAGTGCTTTTATTCAAAGGAAAAGTATGAGGCTTAGTTCCTCCCATCACAGTTAGATATATACACAAGACATAATACATTATTTTCTATAGTATATGAAGGTATTGATCTCTAGAAAGGAGAAATTCTTAGAAAATTTCTCTCCTAACAAATGACAAAACAGCCCCCCTTTACATGTAAATAATATGTCAAGTTATATGCAAAATAGATATTTTTACTCCCATAGAAATGAAAAAAATATTTTTAGGTATTGCATTTTTAAAAAGTATATATAGTTTCTACATGCTTTTGAAAAGAATTTTGAAATTGCTTGCATGAGAATCACAATTTGTATTCAGTCACTGGTTCATGAGTTTTCACTCAGTGACTGTTCTCCACTTTCAGGCCTCAGATTTCTTTAATAATCCATTGAAAACTATAACTCCTCTGTCATGAAAAATACACGAACATACAGAATTTTGCATATGTTGATATTTTTTTAATCTATACTTTATGTTATAGTAGTAGCTTTAAAACATGTTTTCAGTGCTCATAACCCGTTTTTTTTTAGAGGACGCTCAGAAGGTAAAAGTTAAAAAAAAAAAAAAAGAGGATTCCTGTACTACCTTGTGCATGTGCGCTGAACCCCATTGCCAGCCTTCTTCCCTGTCTCCCTACTCCTTTCTCATCCCTGTGTCAATTTAAAAGCTTCTTAAATTTGATTTTTGCTTGGGGACAGGTGACACTTCTCCAGATGAAGGGTTAACAGAGGACTTGACTGTAGAAGACAAAGCTGTGGAGCAACTGGCAGAAGGATTGCTTTCTCACTACCTGCCCGATTTGCAGAGATCAAAACAAGCCCTCCAGGAACTCACGTGAGCTCACAAAAAGCAGAGATGCACTCGTTTCCCCTCTGGCAGAGTCATCCTTTACCGTATCAGTATATACTGTATTAAGTCATATTATTTTGTAACATTTCATGCAATTGAGTGTTTCTTTATCTTCAGTGGTAGCAAATGGGAGTGGAGGAATTCAGAGTAATGTAAATATGAAAAATGAAATGAATACTTGTAGACTGTTTGTATTCTAAAAATACCCCTAAATCCTACCTAGACTTTTTCATTAATTTTGGGTGTTTACCAGTATTTTATAAAAGTCCTGCCTATTGGGAATGTCGCATGATGGGTATACACCTATTTCTGAATAGAGTTGCAAAATTGCTTCCATGAGAGTCACAATTTGTATTCAGTCACTGGTTCAAGAGTTGCCCGAAATCCTTAAGTATCTTTTATTGAGTGGCTCATTTCATCCTCTACTAGCTAAACAAAGGATTGGAGGGAACATTAAGAGCAGAACAGGGTAAGGAAGAATGGAACCCATAAAGTGGGTTCCCATACACACTTTACTTTATCGGTTCCCACCTGGGCACCACAGACTGAGTTTCTACTTCCTCCAGAGTCAGGACCTGTCTGGATTGCCCAGGTGGGCCTAATGTTTTTTTCTGTGATAGTCATGTTTAAGGCTCTGAGCTGCTGCTTTTCTAAGACCTACTCTCTGAAAACTTATCTAAAAAGACTTTATTAGGACAAAAGGAGAGAAATAATCAACGATGATCATTTCATAAATGTTAGTTAAGTAATGTTGTAGTTCTTAGATTTGAAGGTGATAAATGAGTATAGAAGCAGTACCATGTTCTTCTACATGTGGTATGCTACTGTAGGTAGGGAGTTGGCAACATTCTGGTTTTCTGCTAGTTTCAAGTGACATTTTATTATCCCTAGTATGTCTTATGTCTTGTATTTTAACACCAGTTAATCCTTGTGTGGCAAAAGAGTAATCAAGTTTTTGTTGTGTGGTTTAGGTGAGGTTTGATAGACTGACATAAGGTAAGAAACTCTGAAAGCAAAACATTTGGATAACACCCTCCTAACAGGAAGCTCAGAGTCAGGGTTTAACTGCAGAGTTTAATTGGTGGACATTGGCTAAAATTTAGTGTTTTGAGTATCCCCACTTCCTAGGCATCCATATGATGATGATGATGATGATGGTGATGATACTGCTGCTGGTGTTGGTAAAATTAGTTACTGTTTATTACTATACTTACTACGTTTGCCACTTTACATACCATATCTTAATTAGTCTGACACCTACTTTATGAAGTATCTAATATTACCTCTGCTTACAGTTGAAGAAACTGAGGTTCAGAGAGGTTAAGTAACTTGAAAAAGATTACACAGATAGTGTTGGAATTAATAATTGAATATGATGCATAAGCAGTTATTATACATCTTGAGTGGTAAGGCAAGATAAGCAAATTTCAAAGAAGGGAAAAAGAAATGTTTTCTAGAAGGTGTCTCTTTCAAATTTCACTAATCATAAAGATGCATGGGAAACAGCAGTAGACTAAGAGCTCCCGAGTCCTAGTCCTCACTCCGTCATTAAACTAATCTTCATGAAGCCTCTTCACCATTATAGAAGCAGGTAAGAAGGAGAAGGCAGTGGGAGATAAAAATTAAGCTTTTTTGTAGCTAACAATGGATAAGGAAGACCAAGAACAAAATTTAGCTTTATATTTAAGAAAGGTTATGAATAGCCTTTTATATATGTCATTTTAAGAACATTGGAAAGAGAAAAAAGAGGGTCTGGGATCCCGGTTCTTAAAAGTAGCTGGAGGAGGTGCAGTTGCGAATAGTCTCAGTAGAGCTCTGCTTTACATTAAAACAAAAACAAAACACAACAACAAAAAGAAAAAAACAGGCTTTTTTTTTTTTTTTTTGATTAAAAGGAAACCTTCCAAGGAAATACTTTATTTTCCTCAGAGATCATTAGATATTGCATCAGGGTTTCACAATCACGTTCATCATGTTTACCACAGATTATACAAAACTTCAAGGGAAAGGTAAATCAGTCATTTTGCCCCACTATGTTGTAGCTAAATATTCTCTGGAACTTTCTTCTAGAATTTCTAGACTTCTGGATCATGAAAGTTACAATTACAGTTTTGTTATAAAGGATACAGATCAGGACCAGCCTAATGAATAGACACAGAGAACAGGGTCAGAGGGCATTCCCAACAAAGAGCTTCTGTGCCCTCTCCTAGTGAATGAAATTAGGGCATATCACCCTCCCAGATATGTTCACCAACCAGGAAGCTCTACTGAGCTTTGCGGTCCAGAGTTTTTAACAGGGTTTCATTAAGTAGGCATAGTTGATTGAACCATTGGCCATGCAATCGAACTCATTTTCCAGACCCCCCTCTTCTTTGGGGAATGGGCTGATACTACATGGCTCAAAACCTCAACCCTCTGACCACATGATTGATGTTTCCGGCATGACCAGCCCTAGTATTGAAGCTCTCTGGGCCCACCATGGGTCACCTCATTAGCATAATCAGGTATGATTCAAGGGTCTCATGAATAACAAAGATACTCTTATTTTGGAAATTCCAAGGGTTTTAGAGTAGATATGCCAGGAACCTGGGACAAAGATCAGACAAATTCATGATTATGCAACAGATGTTCACTTAGCTCATATTTTAAAAACTTTTAAAAATATTTTTATTATACTTTTGTTTACAGGACATGTGTTCATTTTTCTCTTTTTTAAATCTATTTTGAAATTACAGCTGATACCATATTATATTAGCTTTAAATGTACAACACAGTGATTAGACATATATAACTTAGAAACTGATCACCCTGATAAGTGTAGTACCCATCTGACACCATACATGGTTACTATAATATTATTGCTAATATTCCCTGTGCTGTAATTTATATCTCTGTGACTATTTTTACTCTCTTTTTTTAATTTTTCAATTACAGTTGACATTCAATATTATTTTATATTAGTTTCAAGTGTACAGCATAGTGATTAAACATTTATATAATTGATGAAGTGTTCCCTCCTGTAAGTCTAATGCCCACCTTGCACCATACATAGTAATAGCAACATTATTGACTGTATTCCCTATGCTGTACTTTACATCTCTGTGACTGTTTTGTAACCACTAATTTGTAAATTCCTTCACCTATTTTACCCAGCTTCCCAATCCCCCTCCCATCTGGCCACCATCAGTCTGCTCTCTATATCTGTGAGTCTGTTTCTGTTTGTTTATTTATTTTGTTCTTTAGATTCCACATGTAAGTAAAATCATACTGTATTTGTCTTTCTCTGTTTGACTTATTTCACTTAGCATAATACCCTCTAGGTCCATCCATTGTTGCAAATAGTGATTTCATTCTTTCTAAATGTATTTTGCCTATTTTTAAATTGGGTTATGTACTTATTGTTGTGTTTTAAGACTACTTTGTATACTTTTGATACAAGTCTTTATGTGTTTAAAGAATATTTTCTCCAGGTGTGTAGCTTATCTTTTCATTCTCTTAACAGTGACTTTTGCAGAGTAGAAGAATATAATTTTAAAAGTCCTTAATGGATTATGCTTTTGGTATTCCGTGTAAAAATTCATCACCATATCAAGGTCACCTAGATTTTCTCCTGTCTTTTCTACAAGTTTTAGAGTTTTACATTTTACATTTAGATCTATCATCCATTTTCAGTTAATTGTTATGAAAGGTGTAAGGCGTGTGTCTAGGTTAACATATTTGCACATGCATGTCCAATTCTTGTCTTACCATTTGTTGAATAGACTCTTATTTCTCCACGGTATTATCTTAGCTCTTTTGCCAAAGAGCAGTTGATTATATTTGTGTGGTTCTAAGAGCTTTGTATACTGTTCCGTTGATCAGCGTGTGCTCTCATTGATACCATGCTGTGGTGATTTCTGTAGTTTTCTAAGTCTTGAAATTGCATATGTCTTCCAACTTTGTTCTTCAGTATGCATTGACTCTTCTAGGTCTTTTTAAATTTCCATGTTCATTTTAGAACCAGTTTATTGTATCTACAAAATAATTTGCTTGGATTTAAATTGGGATTACATTGAATCTATAGATCAAGTTGGGAGGAATTGATACCATAATATTAAGCTTTTACTACATGTTCTTGGACTCTCTCTCCATTATGTACATCGTTTTAAAATTTAAAAAACTCTTGAGAGCTTTACATAAAGATCCTGTACATATTTTGCTAGATTTATACCAGAGTATTTCCTCTGAGGGGTTTTTGTTTACTGCTGGTATATAGGAAAGCAACTGACTTTTGTATATTTATGTTGCATCCTGAAACCTTGCTATACTGACATAGTAGTTCCAGGAGGGTTTTGTTGATTCTTTGGGATTTTCCACATAAGCATTCATGTATTTCATCTGTGAGCAAAAATAGTTTTATTTTAATCATATATCTTTTATTTCCTTTCCTTTTCTTATTACATTAGCTAGGACTTCCAGTATGATATTGAATAGGAGCAGTGAGAATGAACATCTTTTCCTTGCTGCTGATCTTAGGGGGAAGACATCTGATTTCTTGCTACAAGTGTGATGTTAACTATAGTTAAAAAAATGTTCTTTAACAAGTTGAGGAAGTTCCTCTCTCTTCCTAGTCTGTTGAGAGTGTTTTTAGTCATGAATGGCATTGGACTTGGTCAAGTACTTTTTCTGCATCAACTGACAGGACCATATGACTTTTCTTCTTTAGCTTTCTTCAAATATTGAACCAGCTTTGCATACCTGGAATAAATCCCATTTGATTGTGGTGTATAATTTTTTTATACATTTTTGGATTTGATTGCCAATATCTTATTGAGGATTTCTGCATCTATGTTCATGAAATACATTAGTCTATAGATTTTCCTTTCTTGTAATGTCTTTATCTGGTTTTGGTTTCTGGGTAATGTTGGCCTCATGGGAAATGCTCCCTCTACTTCTGTTTGGTCTTTGTGCTTTCATTTCTGGGAGGTTATTGCGTATTAATTCAATTTTTATAATAAATAGGATACAGTAGGTTGTTAGCCAGACATGAGCACTGTAAGGGTGATACCCAGGTACAGAAGGTCACCTGGAGTGAAAGCCCAGGTGCCTAGCAAAACTGGAAAAACAAGTATTGTAGGGTGGGACCTCGCCCCACAGTGACCTTTCTTCCCCTAGTGTATTGCTAGTTACGCAGTTTAGACTGTCCCCAGAGATTTTCTCAATCTGGCAAGTCCTCCCTTTGAGGAGGAACAAAGGGGCTGGTGAAGAGCCTCATATGATTCCTGTACAAGCCCTCACAAGACCACTTCCTCGAACATTAAGCCCTCAGGACAATGAGGTTCTGACCCGCATCAGAAACAAAGCTTTGGGTCTGTTGACCACAGAGACCGAGTTTTGGTCAAACTAGAGATAACATCTAGGCCACTATTGTGTTTCAGCCTCAGGCCCAGAAAAGCAGCAAAACCAGCTGCAGCTATACCAGGGCTGACATCATGACCAGCTGCATTGACGAATGACCCTCTATCCTAGCACCGACCAATCAGTGGAGACCGTGACCGTGAAAGGACACACCTGGAAAGCTGATGAATAGTCTATTGACATTCTCCCCTAAAATTCCTGCCTTTAGGAAACAGATAAAAACACACAAAATGAAACAGCCCTGCTGGCTTCCTTTTTCTACGACTTCTACTCTGTGACTTGCTAAATAAACTTTCACTTGTATTTGAGTTCTCGTCTCTGAATTATTTCTTGTGCAATCTCAAGGACCAACATCTAACACCTGGTACCATTTGCTGTTAAGATACAGGCCTACTTAGATTATATTTCTCCTTGTGTGAGTTTTGGTAGTTTGTGTCTTTCAAGGAAGTAGCCGTTTTTATCCAAGTTACTAAATTTACGGATATGGAGTTGTTGAAAGTACTCCTTTATTATCCTTTTAATGTACATGGGATCAATAGTGACAACTTCTCTTCCATAAATTATGTTAGCAATTTGCAACTTCCCTCTCTTTGTTAGTTTGGCTAGAGGTTTATCAATTTTATTGATCTTTTGAAGAACCAACTTTTGGTTTTGTTGATTTTTCTATATTAGTTATTGTAACCGCCTCTATTTGCTTTCCTGCTTATCTCAGGTCATTGATTTGCTGGGTTTTCCTCTCATCTGTTCTGTTTCACCTCCTGTGGTCTCTAGTCAGAGCTGAAGGGACAAACCTGTGACCTCTGGAGTCTGCCAAACTCAGTGCTGGATGGTGGAGATGCTGTAGCTGCCCTTCGGTCTCATTGTTATTTCTTTTTCTCACTATTGATCTCTGTTTAACAGCATAGTTTTGCAAGCAAATCCTGTCTCTCACTTTTTTGTCAATGGTATTCTTTAAAATAATTAATTAGGTGGTCCCTCAATGTCACTTATTCCTGTGATCCCAGCATTGATTGATCTAGAGAAGTATATTAGGAAAGTTGGCTTCTCTTCCTCAATATGAGGTTTTGGATCAGAATTTTTATGAGGACCTTTAAAATTACATCATCTGACCTTCTCACTTTATTAATGAAGAAATTTAGGCCCAGAGAAATAAATTTCTAATATCAGATATCACACAGCTGATTATTGGTAGGGGAATCTTGTAATTCCTAGGCTGTTTTTTTTCATCTTGCTTCTTATTTATTACTTTAGACTTACTTATCCCTTGATATTGCATTTTTCCCAATTATAATCTAAAAAGTCACTGCTGCTCATTTCCTTTGTGGTATTCTTCCCATTTTAATATATATAAAACATTGAATTTCTTGGGCAAGATAGTATAAAAAACATTTTTTTGAATAATACAAGAAGTTGCTAAAAATAATAATAAAATGATTTTAAATGATTTGGTGAATTTGGTTACTAGAATCTGAAATTGAGGCAAGAATAAAAGATACATTTAATTATCAGAATGTGGCTTTGAAATATTATTTTGAAAAAGAGTATACTCAAATAAGCCTTGAAGAATCAGTAAATTTCCAACTTAATTTCTACTTTTAACATTAACCAAGATGAATGTGATTCCTTTTCATGAACCAGCACTTACAGTATGTGATGTTTATTTTGGCCTTTTTATTTTTTACAGACAGAACCAAGTTGTATTATTAGACACACTGGAACAAGAGATTTCAAAATTTAAAGAATGTCATTCTATGTTGGATATTAATGCTTTGGTAAGTATGATTTAGTTGACATAGCTTAAAGACATCTTGTTTGAGAAATAGGTAGGTTTATCCTCCCAATTTTACATATGTATGTTTGGGATCTTGTCCTCTAATTTTTAAAGGTTAGAATTTGTCTTTTAATAGGAAACTTTGATTTATTTTGTTTAGAATGGGAGTTACTTTGGAATAAAAGGAACTCCCATTATTTTGAATTGTTATCTTTCAAATGTTTAATTTGTGATAGGAACTAGAACTTAGTTAATGAAAGTATGGAATAGGTGTTGATTTTTATAAAAGAGACTAAAAGTAAAAAATTTTTGGGATGCTATTTTTCCCCTTAAGGAAAGTACATCTCTTTTGATCAATTACTTGGTTTTTTAAATTCATATTTTATTTAATTGTATGGTATTTTCATAAAGTTATAACAAATTAATGCTGAAACAGACCCTTTAAGGTCCTTTACAGACCCTTTATATCTTTTAGTATAAACTATAGTTGAAATTCATCAGAAGCTTTATAGCCTTTTGATGAGGGGAACTGATACTCTTTATTTTAAGAATTAACAAAAATAAGGAACTTGGAGTCTCTTCACCATGAACATTACAAATAGCTTGGTTTGCATGATTTTATGGACTTTTGCACACTGGACAAATGGTGGCTTAGTAATGTTTTCCTCTTAAACAATCAGAAAGTAAGTTCATCTCTAGCATTAGTCAGAGGCCTGTGGTAGTAAATACTATGTCTTACACCCTGTAGTCCCTGACTTCTCGTGAAAGAGGTGGGCAAGGCTCCACTGATTTAGGGATAGTTGTTGAATTAATTAATGATAAATGAACCAAGCAGATGTAATACTGTTGCTTCTGAGGGGGCAGAAACTATGTCTTCCTCTTTAGTCTTCTCTCAGCCCGAGAGCAATTTTGATTATCATCTAGGAACTGAAAACTGGAAGGTTTTGAGAGAGACAGAGGGAGGGCCTGTAAGCTCAAGAGCTCACCAGACTATGACTTTATGTATAGCTGCATGAAGGTTGCTAATCTTTCTACTGACACTTCTCTCTCATTTGTTACCTGGTCTTCTCTTTCTATTACCTTGACTGAGAATGTGGTGCTTTTTTCCTTTTCTTCCATCTCTGGCTGAGATGGAAAGTCTACACCTATAACTCCTTGGAAAGAAAACTGTCCTTCCGGAGGTGGTTCTGCTTGGCCTGACTTCAGAAGCCCACAGCCCTCTCAGGGTGCTTTAGGCACAGCTTGGCTTTTATTGATGGGAAGGCACTGAAACTGTCCTATGTATCCTGGCTTGGTCTTTCCCTTGTAAAGGCAGTACAGAGAGTTTTACTTTTCTCAGATGAAACTGAGAGCATTATTTGGTAGCCTTGCTGAAATTTGAGAATTATATTGCATGTTTTTAAAGCAAAATGTTACCTGTATACAATATAAATATCTATTTTATGTTTAGTAACTTTTTATCAATCTGACCTGAATCAAGTGTTTTCAAAATTCTTCTAGTGGTTTAAATAAAATTTAAATATTGGAATTAAATTGTGGAGGTAATTAAGGCATTAAAAAAATTTGACCAATTTAGGAAGGATGAACTGTAGTTTAGACATTGATTTATTTATCCACTTGGATATTTCATTCTATTTTAACTTGGTTTTTCATTTATTTTTTCATGTTAAGTTCACTGAAGCTAAACACTATCATGCCAAGTTGGTGAATATAAGAAAAGAAATGCTGATGCTTCATGAAAAGACATCAAAGTTAAAAGTGAGTTGGAAAGTTCTTTTACATTCTTTATAAAAGTAGAGGTTTAATTGTCTGTTTTGTTCAATATTCATTTTCTGACTTATATATCCACATACAATAACATACTTAATTCATGTACATTGTTTTTTTTAAATTTATTTATTTTTTAAATTAATTAATTTTTTTTCAAATACATTTGTCTCTGCCTTCCCACCACCGCTTTCCCCTGCCCCCCTACGCCCTCTCCCTTCCTTAGTCCTTCCCCACTTTGGCTTTGTCGATTAGTCCTTCATATATGTTCTTTGACTTGACCCTTGCCTTCCCTTTCCCCACCCCACCCCACTTCCTCCTTCCCTCTTGACTCTGTTGGTTTCTTTTTTCTTTCAATGTTGCTGGTCATATTTTCCTTGCATCTTTGTTTTGTTGTTTAGGATCCACTTATAGGTGAGATCATATGGTATTTGTCTTTCGCCCTCTGGCTTATTTCACTTAGCATAATGCTCTCTAGTTCCATCCATGCTGTCGCGAAGTGTAGTAGTTCTTTTTTTCTTTCTGCTACGTAGTATTCCGTTGTGTAAATGTACCAGAGTTTTTTGATCCAATCATCTACTGATGGGCATTTAAGTTGCTTCCAACACTTGGCTATTGTACATTGTGCTGCTATGAACATTGGGGTGCATAGGTTCTTTTGAATTGGCGTTTTGGGATTCTTAGGGTATAGTCCCAGCAGGGGATTCACTGGATCAAAAGGCAGTTCCATTTTTAGCTTTTTGAGGAAATTCCACACTGTTTTCCACAGTGGCCACACCAGTCTGCATTCCCACCAACAGTGTGCTAGGGTTCCCTTTTCTCCACAGCCTCGCCAGCACCTGTTGTTTGTTGATCTGTTTATGATGGCCATTCTGACTGGTGTGATGTGGTATCTCATTGTGGTTTTAATTTGCATTTCTCTGATGGCTAGTGATGCTGAGCATTCTTTCAAATGTCTCTGGGCCCTCTGTATCTCCTCCTTGGAAAAGTGTCTGCCCAGATCCTTTGCCCATTTTTTAATTGGATCCGTTTGTCTTCTTGGAGTGGAGTTGCGTGAGTTCTCTATATATTTTGGAGATCGAACCTCTATCTGATGTATCATTAGCAAATATATTTTCCCATAGAGTTGGCTCCCTTTTCATTTTGCTGGTGTTTTCTTTAGCCGTGCAGAAGCTTCTTACTTTGATGAGGTCCTATGTGTTTATTTTTTCCTTTATGTCCCTTGCTTTAGGGGATATATCTGTGAAAATATTGCTGCATGGGATATCTTAGAGTTTCCTGCCAATGTTCTCCTCCAGGACTTTTATGGTATTGTGACTTATATTTAAGTCTTTTATCCATCTTGAGTTTATTTTTGTGTATGGTGTCAGCTGATGATAAAATTTCAATTTTTTGCATGTAGCTGTCCAGCTCTCCCATCACCATTTGTTGAAGAGGCTATTTTTACTCCACTTTATGCTTCTGCCCCCTTTGTCAAATAGTAATTGACCATATAAACATGGGCTTATTTCTGGGCTTTCTATTCTGTTCCTCTAGTCTATGGGTCCGTTCTTGTGCCAGTACCAGATTGTTTTGATTACAGTGGCTTTGTAATATAGTTTGATGTCCGGTGTTGTGATCTCTCCTACTTTGTTTTTCTTTCTCAAAATTGCTGCGGCTATTTGGGGTCATTTATGGTTTCACATAAATTTTTGAAATGTGTGTTCTATTTCTGCGAAATACGTCATTGGTATCTTAATAGGGATTGCGTTGAATCTATAAATTACTTGGGGTAGTATGGACATTTTGATGATATTCTTCCAATCCATGAGCACAGTATATGCTTACATTTATTTGTGTCTTCCTTAATTTCTTTCTTCAATGTTGTATACTTTTCTGCATACAGTTCTTTTACCTCCTTGGTTAAATTTATTCCTAGGTACTTTATTTTTCTTGTTGCTATACAAATGCAAATGGTATTTTTTTCTGATTTCTTCTTCTATTTCATTGATGGTGTACAAAAATGCATTTGATTTCTGAATATTGACTTTGTATTCTGTTTTGCCAAATTCACTTATTAGATTGAGTAGTTTTTTGGTGTAGTCTACAAGGTTTTCTATGTACACTATCATGTCATCTGTAAACAATGATAGTTTTACTTTCTCCTTTCCTATTTAGATGCCTTTTATTTCTTTTTCTTTTCTGACCACTGTGGCTAGGACTTCCAATACTATGTTGAATAGAAGTGGTGAAAGTGGACATCCTCGTTGTGTTCCCGATCTTAGTGGGAAAGCTTTTAGTTTTTGCCTGTTGAGTATGACGTTGGTTGTAGGTTTTTCATATATGGCCTTTATGACATTGAGGTATGTCCCCTTTATTCCCATTTTGCTGAGTGTTTTGATCATAAATGGGTGCTGTACCTTATCGGATGCTTTTTCTGCATCTATTGAGATGATCATGTGGTTTTTGTCTTTCCTTTTGTTTATGTGATGTATTATGTTTATTGATTTGCGTATATTGAACCATCCTTGCATCCCTGGGATGAATCCCTCTTGATCATGGTGGATAATCTTTTTAGTGTATTGCTGGATGCAGTTTGCCCATATTTTGTTGAGGATTTTAGCATCTATGTTCATAGCGATATTGGCCTGTAGTTTTCTTTCTTTGTAGGGTCTTTATCTGGTTTTGGGATTAGGGTGATGCTGGCCTCATAAAGAGAGTCTGGGAGTCTTCCCTCCTCTTGGATTTTTTGGAATAGTCTGAGAAGGACAGGGGTTAGCTCTTCCTTAAATGTTTTGTAAAATTCTCCTGTGAAACCATCTGGCCCAGGGCTTTTGTGTGCCAGGAGTTTCTTGATTACTGCTTCAATTTCTCCAGCTGTTATCGGTCTGTTCAGGCTTTCTGCTTCTTCTTCCTTCAGTGTTGGAAAATTATACTTTTCTAGAAATATGTCCATTTCATTGAGGTTTTCAAATTTCTTGGCATGTAACTGTTCATAGTAGTTTCTTACAATCCTTTGTATTTCTGTGGTATCAGTTGTTATTTCTCCTCTTTCATTTCTGATATTATTTATTTGGGTCCTCTCCCTTTTTTTCTTGATGAGTCTGCTTAAAGGCTGGTTGATTTTATTTATCTTTTCCAAGAACCAGCTCCTGGATTGTTTGATCCTTTGAATTGTTCTTTTTGTCTCTATGTCATTTAGTTCTGCTCTGATCTTGACTATTTCCTTCCTTCTACTTGCTCTGGGATTTATTTGTTGTTGTTTCTCTAGTTCTTGAAGTTGTAGTGTTAGGTCTTTTATTTGAAATGTTTCTATCTCTTTTAGGTAAGCCTGTATTGCTATGAACTTCCCCCTCAGGACTGTCTTTGCTGTGTCCCATAGGTTTTGGACTATTGTATGTTCATTTTCATTTGTTTCCAGAAACTTTTTGATTTCTTCTCTAATCTCATTATTGACCCATTCATTGTTTAATAGTGTGCTGTTAAGTCTCCATGAGTTTGCAGGTTTTTGAGGTTTCCCTTTTAGGTTGATTTCCAGTTTCAAACCCTTGTGGTCCAAGAAAATGCTTGTTAGTATTTCAATTTTCCTGAATTTGTAGAGGTTTGCTTTGTGTCCTATCATGTGGTCTATTTTTTGAGAAAGTTCCATGCGCATTTGAAAAGAATGTGTATTTCACTTCTTTGGGATGAAAGGTTCTATATGTGTCAGTTAAGTTCATTTGATTTAATGCGTCATTCAGCTTCACAATATCTTTGCTGATGTTTTGTTTGGATTCTTCCTTTAAGTATTATAAAGTGTCCCTCTGGGTCTCTTTTTATAGCCTTTGTTTTGAAATCTATTTTGTCTGATAAAAGTATTGCTACCCCTGCTTTTTTTTCTTGCCCATTTGCTTGGAATATTTTTTTCCATCCCTTTACCTTCAGTCTGTGTAGGTCCTTTGTTCTGATGTGGGTCTCTTGTTGGCAGCATATGTGTGGGTCATTTTTTCTTATCCATTCAGCTATCCTATGTCTTTTGATTGGGGCATTTAGTCCATTTATATTGAGAGTTATTATTGATAGAAACGTATTCATTTTTTCCCTTTGTACCTGTGTTTTTCTCTTTCTCACTTTTTTTCTTCATCTCCTTAAACCAGTCCCTTTATCATATCTTATAGTGCTGGTTTGGTGGAGACGTATTCTTTTAGTCTTCTTTTATCTGGGAAACTCCTTATTTCACCTTGTTTTAATTGAGAGCCTTGCTGGGTAGAGCAGTCTTGGTTGCAGGCCTTTGCTTTTCATGATTGGAATATTTCTTGCCATTCCCTTCTGGCTTGTAGTGTTTCTGTTGAGAAGTCAGCTGTTAGCCGTATCAGGGCTCCCTTGTATGTTACTACCTGTTTCTCCCTTGCTGCCTTTAGGATTCTTTCTTTGTCTTTGATATTTGCCATTTTAATGATGATGTGTCTTGGAGTGGGCCTCCTTGGATTCCTCTTGTATGGGGCCCTCTGTGCTTCCTGGACCCATGAGACCTTTTCTCTCCTCAAATTGCGGAAATTTTCCATCATTACTTTTTCAAACAGGTTCTCTATCCCTTTCTCCTCTTCTTCTCCTTCTGGTATCCCTATTATACGGATATTATTGCATTTCAGGTTGTCCTGCATTTCCCTAAATGCCTCTTCATTCTTTTTGAGTCTTTTTTCCATTTCTTGTTCTTTCTTGGAGCTTTTTTCTACCTTGTCCTCCAGCTCCCTGATTCAGTCCTCTGCTTCATCTAGTCTGTTTTTGATTCTTTCTGCTGTGTTCTTCAATTCAGAAATTGTATTCTTCATTTCTTCTTGTGTCCTTTTGATACTTTCTATGTCTTTCCAGGTTGATATAGTTTGCAGGAAGTTCCTGATAGTTTCTCTGTAGTTTCTCATTATTCTCTGTGAGGCGACTGAGCTCATTGAGTTTCCTTAGAGCCATTGTTTTGAATTCAATATCTGATAGTTCATTTGCCTCTATTTTATTTAGCTCTGTCTGTGGAGATTCCTTCTTTCCCCTCATTTAGGGGATATTTCTTTTCCTTCCCATTATTTGTGAGAGTCTTTTTTTTTTCTTGCTTCTGCTTCAATTGATCAGACTTGATTTCCTGACTTTGTGAATTAAACTTCTGTGGTAGTAGGCGGGTCTGTTTGTTTGTTTGTTTGTTTGTTTTTTCTTTTCTTTCTGGGTCTGCCTCTGATGGTGTCAGAGGCCCTCTGTTGACGCTGTCTGACTGTAGGCCATTTGTTTGAGCCTTCCAGGAATCTACTGTCTGTGTCTGTCTCCTGCAATTGTTAATCTAGTCACTCTGCCCTCAGCTGTCAGGCTTAGACACCACTGGGCAGGGCAGTGCCTCCTGAGGGCGGGATTATCATGTCCTTACCGTTTGCTGTCACTCAGGGGAGTGGTCTGCCTGAGCAAGATGGAGACCTTGGAATGGGGAAGGAGTCAGCACTGGGATCCTCCCCAGCTACTCCCTTAGTTCTCTCCCCAATTCCTCTGGCTCCAGGCTCTCCTCAAGAGTTTCTAGTCAGTCCTGTGTCCCCTTTAGCCCAAGGTCTACTATCTCTGCAGGTCGCTCTGCACTCAGCATCAAGGCCCACATGCAACTCCTGTCTGGGCCGGACTGCCCTGAGGTCAGGGTTATCATTATTTTTTTTAATTTATTTTTTATTGTTTTCTTTTAAAACATTCTTTGGAAATCCACTGTGGGCTTTTTTTACTAAGAGCTGGGCCAGGAGGCTTGTATTCTCTAAATATGTCACTGCAGTTCTCGTTTAATGGAGTAACAAATTATTATTATTTGTTTCAAGGAGACCTTAAATTACCCAGAATGAATTTAAAAGTTAAATATGAAATTTATAAATGTGTATTGATCACCTCAGAACAAAGCACTGTTACTTTTAAATTAAGCCCTAACCTATAAGCCTTGATTGTTTTCTTGGTTTTTGAATTTTTTGACATAGAAAAGAGCACTTAAACTGCAGCAGAAGAGGCAGAAAGAAGAGTTGGAAAGGGAGCAGCAACGAGAGAAGGAATTTGAAAGAGAAAAGCAGTTAACTGCTAAACCAGCGAAAAGGACGTGACAAGCTGAATGTGTGTGTGTTCTTCCTTCCCCTGTCCCATAGTCTTTGTATTTAAGGCCACTTAAGTGTAGACTAAAGTTAAGGTAGTGCCTCTTACTATTGTGTCCTGGTTTGAAATCCTTTCCCCAGGAGCGCTTTCTCTATGTGTTAATTTTAGCCATTTAAGAAGCTAGTTGTTTTTTTCTGAGTAGAAGACATAATGTCACTTGGTTTGGATATTTATGGGTAATTTTTCAACTTCCATTTTGCTTAATTTTAAAATTCATTATTTTGTCCTTGAATCATTTGTAAACTGGAATCATTTTATAAAATGGTTTGGTTTTTTAATAGTCTAGACTTTAAATGGTAAAAATTAGTAGGATATTTTTAGTTTCTTAATATCTGGGTTTAAAAGTTTCAGTTTCTTGTTTTATGAAGTGATTTGCCTTTTTGGCAGTACAATGCTGGTTTTTGGCAATTGACTTTTCATTGCTTCGGTAAGAGAAAAATGCCAACATTTAATCACATATGCTGGTGGAAAAGGGGTGGCATAAGCTTTGTGAAGAACATGGTAGAAAAGTATGTACCTAGTAAATAATAGCATCTTAGACGTAGGATAGATGAGCAAGATGCCAGATAGATTCTACTAACCATACTTTATCTGCTCCCTAGCATTGTTTGCTATTTAGTTCTTATGTAGCTTCTGGGTTCACAATAGATTGCTTTTCCTAGAGTTTGGGCAGGGCTGGTGGGTAAAGCTTGTCACATACTCATATATGCTTGAATACTTATAATACTTAGTAAGGGTCAACACACATTGAGATACAGTTGTCAAGCTGATAAGATAGTGAGCTCAACTTCCCAAATGGAAGATCTAATCGCTAGTTCTGCCCTTTGATTTGCTGTGTGGCCTTACATGTGGTTACTTTTTTGTGTGCTTTTAACAAATTCTTAGTAGAATGATAGATACCAACTACCAATTTTATAGATAATGACAAGAATTGTGAAAAATTGGTAGATAGCTTCTTCTCAGAAGAGGCAGCATGATACTGTTAGTGTTTCTAGATACCTCTCCCCCAGTATTTTAAGTAGAGACTTACGTGAGGGAAATATGAAGTTTCATTGTTTAAAATTCAGGTATGTACTGTTTTAGTATTCTTTAATATCCAGCTGGTCTCCAATCTATTACACAGTGACTATACAGAATCTGTGAAGGTATGTGATGAGAATGTGTATCTTTTATAATCCACATTACATTTTTGATGAGCTGGAATCAATACCTCTGTTCACATATCAGGATAATTATTGATGGAGAAGGCATTAGACTTAAGGTGAGTGCTAAGAACTGGTTTGTTTAAAGGTTTAGTTTGTTTGAAAGCCTTTTCCTTTAATGAATTAATTATGATCTCACAATTCATTTGACTTTGACATTATGGTAAGAATATAAATGTATTTTATTTTTAAAGGCTACATGTTGCCTGAATTGCTGAATGTACTCATTTACAATCTGAAAAAGGCTGGACACTGTTTCTTAGAGTGGTTTGTGGACCACCCACAATGGTTATTTAAATGCTGGTTCCTGGATACTATCCTTAATCTGCTGAAGCACATCTTTTTGACTTGCTTTTTAAAAAGAGTTTCCTCAAGTGAATACCTGCACTTTAAAAGTTGAGAACCGCTGGTCTAGTGGTCTAGGTCAGAGGTTCCCACATTAGACTGCATATTATTATCACCGGGGAACTTTAAAAAACCCCAGCCATTCGGGAAGATTGTGACTCATCAGTTCGGAGGTGGGACACATGCAAATTTTAAAGAGCTCTCCACACTGGTTTAGACTATTTAGTGATTTATATTTATAAAGAGTGAAATAGTTTAAAAAAGCCACCCAGTAACTTTTGGGGCTAATCTTGGGAAATAAATTCTGAATTGCTGCTTTTGATATAAATTCAGATTTAAGAGTGAAATAGATAGACAGGAAATGAAGAATTCTGGTTAATTAATTGAACTTTTTGTGACCTGTATTAAAATAAAATAAATCATGTTTATTGAATAAATGGCAGTACACATATGCTTTTAGAGTTGTATTATTTAACTTCTGAAGATTTTTAAAAAGGTAAACAATATATAGTAGCATTCACTATTTTTAGGTCAATTATAAATCAAAGTACTGTTACCTTAGTAATTAAAATCTAAAACTTTAGCTGTATTTCAGAAGCATACAAACATACCTTACTAAACCTGGATGGAACCCTTACAATTAGTCTTACTGTATTTTTGCACAAAATAATGAATTGGTATGTGGGTTGAAAAAAATTGCCTTTAGTTTTTGTGTTGAAAAATACTGTCTTTGTTTTGAAACTGTATCGTGTGTACTGAACTAAAATGATGAAAGTTGCTTTTGTATTTACTTTGTAGGACATATCGCGTAGATATGCAGATGTGGAATGTAATGTGCCTTGTGTCCTCAGTGAAGTTTTGGGTGGATATAGTTTATAAATACGACAGTTTTCACCCTCATATACTTGTCTGATTTTTGAGGTTATAAAATGAAGACTACTTTTTCCACATTTGTTTTATAAAAGCCTCTGAATTACCCAAAGTCATTCACCAAGCACTACTGTGTACGCAGCACTCTATACTTCCCTGTATGGACATTATTTCAACCATCCCACTCCTTTGCCTTCCTCTTAATGTTCTCTGTATAGTGTGTCACATAATGACTAGTTCACTCCTGAAATGTTTTTCAGAAAGTGATAGAAAGTGTTGTGAAAAGATTCTATGAACCCAACTTCATAAAATTTTTATTTGAGAATAAAAATAAAGCTACTACTTTCAGTGGTTTGGAAGATAGAAAGTGCTTCATAAGGACCCCTGCATCTCAGCCTATAAATAATGGAAAATTGCAACTAATAGAATATTTTAGATCATGTTTGTTATTATTTTTTTAATTTTGGGTCCAAGGACCCCTGGGAGAGGGACTTCTGTTGATGATGTTTGGAGGAGACATGAACTCCCATATATTTCTCATGGAATTTTGTATATATGTGTTTCCCGTGACTGGGTTCGTAAGTGTGCATGACTTCCTCCAAAGCAGTGACTCGGTAATTATTAAACCTCCAAACCTCAATGTGTACATAGTAAAAACAGTTACTTAGTTTCTAGGTTTTCCATTTGGATGAAGATAGTTTCTATATTGTATGTTTGTTCAGATACCATTTTTGTACTGACTTGACAGATATTAAAGACTTGTTCTCTTCCTAGCTTATTCATTCTGTTTTATCTCTTTTACATGTATGAGGCCATTTGGGTGAGACTAGGTTTATTTTCAAAGTCATTAAGAGTGAAGGAAGTAGTCAAGGGAGACAATTATGACTAGTTTAAAAAACACTGAAAAAAAATTCCAAAGAAATACAATGAGAAGGCAGGGCAGTCAGAGAGAAGATAGGTAAAATTTGGAGTGGAATGGGGGTGATAACTGAGAAAGAGAAAAGGGAAGGCCAAGAATGAAGAAGAAGAGAAAGGTAATGTATCTTTTGTGTACCCTGGATAAGGGAGACATATAGGCATGCGAAAAATAAAAAAAATAACGAAATTCACCTATTTTTAGGATAAGGTCACCCCCTACTGTCACTTCATTCTGATTTAGATCATACATAATTCCTCATGTGCTTCAGAAGGCCTGCAATGTTCAAGCCTGGATAAGAATGGGGCTGAAAATCACTCAACACGTGGGTGCTGCTCACCCGTGTGCTAGGTGTGACTTTTATTAGGACTTTGGAAAAGACAGCGTAGTGAACTCTTTGTGCAGGGAATAGTAAGCAACAAAAACATGTACATACACTTAAAGTTTCCTGGCTTTTGCTTTGATCATAAAATTTAAAATTTTTATAGTATATATGGCCTAAGTCATATTGTGGTTAGGATTGTGGACTCTGAAGTCAAACTGCTGTGGTTTTTATTCCTGTTGGATTTGGGGCCATGGACTTGCTTAAACCCTGTGTACTTAATTCCCTAAACTATAAGTTGGGGTGTTTCTGGCTTCATAAGGTTTTGAGGTGTTATGATATCTATATAAAAGCCCTTAACAAAATAGTAGAGCTTAAGCAATGTCAGATGTTATATCGTCATATCTTGAAGTCACATCCACATAGAAGTGGTACTAATTTTGCCCCTTCGTACATGTGTATTTTTGCTCACAGGGTTTCCACTGCTTAGGATCCTTCATCCTGTAGTGTCTGCCTGTAGGACCTAGTTATTCTTTGCAACTCAGTTGTCACTTCTTTATAATTTTTCTAAACTACCTCCCAAAGTTCTTTTTTCTTGTGTTCTCATAGCATTTAATATATTTGCCTTAACACTTAAAGTATTAGTTATGTGTTCACATGTGTCAAGATTAAGGATATTTCTTAATCATCTCACTATTCCAGAGTGCAATAGTGCCTGGCCTATTGTTGGTGCATTAATCGGGGTTCTCCGGAGAAACAGAACCAATAGGATATGTGTGTATTAGAGAGAGACAGAGAGAGAGATGTTGATTGAGCATTTGACTCACATGATTGTAGGGGCTGACAATTCCAGAACCATCAGGGCAGGCAGGACAGGCTGGGACCCAGGAAAGAGTTGATACTCCAGCTTGAATTGAAAGGCAGTCTGGAGGCAGAATTCCCTCTCCCTCAGGGGACCTCAGTTGTGTTCTGTTAAGGCTTTCAACTGATGGAGACCCACCCACCATTATGGAGGGTAATCTTTACTGAAATTCTACTGATTTAAATGTTAGTCTCATCTAAAAAAAAATGTTTAGAGTGGCATTTGACCCAATATCTAGGAGGTTTCATGGTATAGCCAAGTTACCACATAAAATTAATCATCACACTTGAGATCAAATCGAATCTAGTAGGAGAGATACAGATATTAAAAATAGTTATAAAAAACTAGGTTACATAAGTGCTGAATAAGAAATATTACAATAAAAAGATTAAATCCCTGCAAGTCACACATGGTCTGTGGATAATTCAAGCTACTGCTTCCATGCCTAATTATATATTAGACTAGAAAAAATCATAGCCAGTCCCAAGATCTTGGGAATCAAATGGACTCAGAGGTAATGAGCATACTGGATCGTAGAAAAATGGATGCCCAATTTACTGTTAGGTTTCCACCACCTGTACCAACTAGGGGCTGTTCAGGCCTCTTAAAAATACAGTAGCTTTAGGGAAGAGTGGGGCAGTTCTAGAGCCTGCTCTACGGATGAGCGAGTCAGCGTGTAGCCTGAGGAAGCGTAGATGGGACAATGCTGCCATCTTGTGGTACTGTGCTCCCTCAGGTCTACAGATTCTATATAGTCTTAATTAGTTTCATGTAGTTTGGCCTAAGTGTTTTCAACTACTGTATAGTTTTTGTTTTTGTTTTTTTTTAGGTAAATCAGGATTTTCTGTGTGGTCTGACCGTTTGTTTAAACAGTGAGATGTTTGAAAGTGATTTGTGTGGAACATTTGATAATGTTTAAAACTACATTTTCCTAACTTTTTCAGTCTTTTAGTTTGACGTTGGGCTTAAGATTTTTAACTTATTTATTTTTTCTTCTCCAATCATGTGATCTATCACCATCAACCATGTTCTAAGAAAAATATGGTAGGCCAAAAATTTCGCTGGGGGCAAAGGCCCTAGGAGTTGGGTGTTTTTATCCCCCTGATCCTCCACATTAGGTCTTAGCTGATAGGATATGGGTTGGGCACCTGGCCCAAGGGAAGCCAACGCATGGTCTAATTGGTAAAAAATTAGCCTGGCAGGAGAAACTGCCTAGATGAGGACTATGGGGAATTCCACTGGCTTAGTCAGTTACTGTCTTGGGAATATGTATTAGAATACTCACTCAGAGAGAATCAGCCCTTTAGTAGTTAAAGAAGTGAGAAGACACACAGAAGCAGACAGAGAACATCTGAGTGTTTAGTGGGCAGGAGTAGTGATCTATGAACTTCTACTTCTGAAAGGGGATAAGGTCATCAGGCCCCTCAAAATGCTGGATCCTTAGCAGTTGTCCTGTATAGCCCTGTGTGACTTGGGTGGTGGGCTTAGCTTCCTATGGGACTTAATTATTGGACTGAGATTCCTGTTTTCCATAAATATTTCACAATACCACCTTTTCATCCCCTACTTTCCCCATTTTTGAGATAACCTCGACAGATCTCGACTTACTGCAACTGTAGGAATCTAACAGTATTATTGTCTTCTAGGTTCCTCTCGCATGTTCTATTTTTCAAAGTGTTTTGCTATGCATTATCTAAGTTAGTCGTAAGGGTGCTACTTAGGGATTTATGTATTTCCATGCCTGCTAATCCAGGAATTCAAGGAAGGAAACAACCCTGGCCAGCACCCAGATGCAGCCTTGCCGCCATCTGCATATCTGTTGTCATTGCTTGCTGAGGTTTCCCCCTTTCCTTATTTTGTCCAATTGCTTAGAATATTCTCATCCCTGGCTGGATTTCTAATCCCACAACTACTTCTAGTTCATTCTCAAGCCTAAAATTCAGAGCCGCAGCTCTGTTGAGCGCTGGTTTCATGCCAGGTGCTTTATACAGGTTCTCTCATAACAGCAGTCTTGGGAGGTCATCACCAGAGCACCATATTCTCATCACCATTTTACAGAAGAGGACACTTGCTGATGAGGACACACTGAGCCTGAGTAACTGCTCAGATCACACAACTCAAGGGTGGAGCTAGGATTTCATTGTGGAAAAAAACTAAAGCTACTGCCTTGCTAGAGAGTTTTCTAAGGCTGGAGACCCTAGGAACAGAGATAGAAATAGATCTCAGGAACTTTAAATATTTTGATAAAACTATACCAATGATAGGGAATTATATGGATATACCATTTTGCCTGCTAATTCTCTCAGTCCAGTTGGATAATAATGGAAGAACGGAAGTGGAGGAGGCATGAGTGTCTCTGCTAGGAGAGAGCCTCGTGGGAAGAATGCCCAAACTCTTCTTTGATTTTCCTGCAAAGCTGTTTTAATTCTAGACTGCCTGTGAAACTCCACACCTCTTTGGTAGAAACAAGCGACAACAGTGAGGCTGGAACTGAGCAAGATGCGGCTCAGGAACCTTCGCTTGAGATGATGCTGATGCTGATTCTGAAGCAGACAGAAGAGAGGCCGCGCTGCTGGGAGAAATGAGCAGCTCCAGAATGACCAGGACGTTCCCATTAAGGCTGTTTTGAGACATTTCACCCTCACCATCAGCACCTCGAGAAAGCTGTCTTTGATGGTGCCTTCCTGGACCTGCATTTCTGGGTCTTCAGCTTATGACTTAGGTCTGCCTCTTTTATACCTTTATGGCATAGGGGAGAAATGCACAGTAGGGACAGAAGCCAGGTTTTGTCACCGGAGGGCTTTGAGCGATTCAGGTTCCCTTTGGGGTAATCATGCATCCAGCACTAAAATTCTGAGACATGTTTTATCCTGTGGCTCTCCAGGATTGCTGGCTCATGGGGTGTTGCTTTCACTTATGATGGCACCAGTCCACCTGCTCAGAGCAGTGACAGCATCCAGGCAGATGTGCTCCTCTCAGATGAGATGTTTCTGACCTTTACCTCACAACGTGGGCCTCAGATGAATTTACCATCTCAGAATGGGGGAGCAGGGAAGAGACTGCTTCTGAAGGAGGGCCTATGCCCCTTTCCTGCCTGGATGGAAAGTGTAATGGCATGGAGAGAGGAGGGGAGGCACCCATGAGTCACCTTGACCCTCTGCAGTTGCCCCGGAGCCCTCTTGTGCTGACTCACCCTCCTAGCCAAGAAGGGTGTCATCCTGAGTGGCAGCTTGTGCCACCTTACAGGTCAGACCTGTTATTAAAGATGCAAATTGGGAGTTAAAGGAGGCTGTGTCACGCCCACCCTAATCTCTATTCTGGGCTCCTATGGTGGCCGGGAGAATTTGTCTCACACATATCTACTTACTACTGTAATTGACCACGGGCTCAGCTGTGGTGCTCCCAGATCTACTTGCATTGGCACTGAGGCATGCTTTCTACAGGCTGCTCCTAGCCAATGGCTCACTCCTGAGAGACATGGGACTTCTCTGACGGGCTAGTTTGGCTCACGGACCGCCCCCCCCACCCCATTGGCTTTGCTGAAGCTCTGCTCTGTAGTTTAGGAGGCTGCTCCCCAACCTTCCTTCTCTTCACTCGGATGACAGTACAGGAAGGAATAAAGAGGCGGAGGGAAGTAGGCATGCTGGAGAGGCTCCATCATATAAGGCCAAATGAC